AGACTTTCTAATCCAGAGGGCGACAATGCGACAGTGCGACCTGTGCGATGACGACAGTACGACATTGCGATGATGACAGTGAGATAGTACGATGTCGACAGTGCGACACTGCGATGACGACAGTACGATAATGCGACAATGCGATAGTGCGATGGTGACAATGCGATAATGCGATGGCGACAGTGCGATAACGCGATGACGACAGTGCGATAATGCGATGGCGAGAATACGATAGTGCGATAATACTATCGCGTTGTCGCCATCGTACTATCGTACTGTCGCCATCGCACTATTGCATTGTCGTCATCGCAATATCGCACTGTCGCCATCGCACTATCGTAGTGTCGTCATCGCGTTATCGCATTGTCGACTAACGCCTTCCGGTGGACAATTATAAACTGCTGACGAATATGCTGACGGTAAAGAATATAGGAAAATAATTTTACTTTTGTCAATAGATTTTTTTCTTCTTGTTTTTTTTTGTTTTCTTTCCTTTTTTGATTGTTTTTGTTTCTTTTTTTTGTATACTGAATTTTAATTTTTCTAACGCAGTAGGGGCGAAAATGAAAGCGGTGTTTGGCTAAAATTTCATTCCAAATTAGCCGGTAACAACCTGGAAAGAATGCTCGTGCATGTCGGTCGTGCATACGGAAAATATGTGTCAGGTATCAGTCCGAGTTGCATAATCTTATCAGTCAGTCAAGCTCATCCGAAAGATAGGACCATTTATTTTCCTCCATGATGCATATAATGGTTTCATTGGCCTCTCGTGCATAAAAAAAACAACAAAAAAACAAACAAAAAACAAACAAAATCGTCAAAAAATCGACTTGCTTACATATGTGAATTACTGGATTCAAAATTTATAGGTCAGCTTTTGGTTGATAATAACATTTAAGGAAATGAAAGGTGACATGTCCGGAGTCCATACTCTCAGTGCCTGAAAGGGCGGATTGTATTCTCATTAAGCATACAATTAAGTTCTGTAAAATCAAACGGTATCACAAAAGGTGTGTAAATTTTGTTGAAACAGTTAGCGGACAGAAATGGTTGTGCCGAAGTTGTGCATGGTAGACACTATTGTAATTTAAATGTTTAGATTTTCTTTCATGGTGGTATGCGAAACCACATGATTTTAAGACATAATTCTAAATAATTTCTATAATTTTAAAGTATTAGTATTTACTATATGCCTATAAAGAAAATATTGATAAATATTGATAAAAAAATGCGTATTTTTATTTTTTCCGTAGTTTCACTGTAAAAATTTATTTTTCACTAACATGCTAAGGTGAAACATATATTCCGTATTTTCACTGTTGTCTTGCCGAACTAATTTCTTATACAGTCAGCCAATACACAAAATTTAAGAGGAAGACTTTCATGTTTAAAAAGAGAAAAATTTATATAATAAACATAAAATTCAAGTTTTTTTTTCTATAACACAGGAGTTATTTTCATCTTGTGATATGAAAATTATTATGTTTCATTCGTGGCTTTCGCAACTCATTAAATATTCATTTTCATACCACTCGATGAAAATAAATTCTGTATCGAATTCTGTATAGAAAAATATTGAATATCCTCAGTGTATAAAATCTTGATGAACGCAATAAATTTCACATAATCACACGTTCATACAAATTTTACATACTACAGTAATTTAAGCTTCCAACAAAATTATAGAAACGTATATATTTTAGTTCAATCATTTCTGTTTTAAACTGCTGTATATATGTTATTGTATATAATTATTGGTTTGAACAAAATCCCTCAGCTGTGTGCCTTTAATAAAATGTTGTATTTTATTTGATAGTTATGTCATATATAATTATGTTATTCACGTTTTGTAATAGTTATATTATATGAAACGAGTTAGTTACGAGGATATAACACTGACTGGGGCGACATCAAGGGGTGTTTCTGCTAAAAAAATGTCGAGGCCGTTAGAATGTAATGCAATGGAACGTTTAAACTGTTGGCTCGAGAAAATGATGTTTTCCCCCCGAAAATTCATACAATTTATATACAAAAAGAACAAATCGCCAGTCCAAAAACGACCATGCCACGCGGATATCTCCCGGACATATTGCTTGGGTAAGGACTCTGGTCCTCATGTTGTGCAAAGAAGACTCTCCAAACTAATACAAAAACTAATCCGCAACGGGATCAGATAAAACGATTAGCTGGAGGACATGGAGGATATGTGTTTTTTTACGAAAATTTATACAATTTACATGCAGACAGGACAAATCGCCGGTCTTATAAGACATATGGAAGTCTCCCGGAAATATTGCTTGGGTTAGGGCTTTGGTCCTCATATTGTGCAAAGAAGATCCTCTAAACTAGTACAAAACGAATCTGAAACGGAATCAGACAAATCGTCCGTTTACTGTTGGTTCGAAAATACGGTGATTTTTATGGTAATAAATATACTTTACATACGGAAAGAACAAATCGCCGGTCCAAAAACGACAATGCCTCGCGGAAATCTCACGAACATATTGTTTGGGTTACAGTTTTGGTTATCATTTTGTGCAAAGAAGACACTAAAAACAAGTACAAAATTGTAACCGCAAGGGAATCAGACAAATGGTGTTTTAACGATTGGCAAGAGAATATGGTGGGTTTTTTTTTACGAAAATTTATACATTTTACATTTTGTATATAAAGGAAGAACAAATATCTGGAAAAAAGACCATGCCACGCGGAAATCTCCCGAACATTTTGTTGGGTCAAGGCTTTGGGTCTTATATTGTGTAAGGAAGACCCTCCAAACTAGTTGAAAACCGAATCAGTCAAATGGTGCTCAAGAAAATAAGATTTTTCCTCCGAAAATTTATATTCTTTTTGCCAACTGGGATTCTGATAAATACTGCGGTTTACGCACAAACTAATCAAATTAAACTGATAGCCTCAGGCAAGATTGGGCACCTGAGTAGAAACACCGACATTCCTCACGTGAAAGAATCCAAAGCTATCAAGGGCAAGTGATATACGCCCCAAAATTACAATTAGTAAGAAAAACTAAGGACAGGCATTTGCCGTAAGTCTGATGGGGAATATTTGTAATATAAGTCAATGTATATTTCAGCTTTTATTAACAGTAGTCAAAAATAAGAAATAACATCATGTAAAGCAAATTAGAGGGCTCAATGCAAATTTTTTCACAATTCAAATACGTTCATTTACATGTGAAATCAGGTATCTGATAAACAATTAAAATGTGTTGTAGAAAAATTATAGACGACTCCTTTAAATGTCTCTAACTAATGCTAAGAAATGAAGTAAAAGAATTATCATCAACATAAACTGTTACACTAAATATGCATGTATATGATAATGTCCTAAAAAAAGAGTCAAATCTAAGATAACAACAGAGTAGAGGAGGAGACTAGGGACCTATTTATACGTGATAATGGAAACATTTACAATAAAATGAGGTAGTGTTTCTTTTTGATGGTTGTTTGCAATGCTTCTAAACCTTCTGTTGGGAGACAGTAAACACTTCTGAAACTATGAAACATTAGGTCTTTAAACCAAATATTTCCTTGCTTACGAAGTGTATAAAAGACGACTTTGGTGATCAAGCATGATACGACTTTGATAAATAAAAAAAGATATTCTACACAAAATGTTCGACTGTATTCAGAGAAATATGTCTTACGTAAAGGAATATATTGGCAATAAATCTTCATTTCACACATACTTAATATTAAAGACATATATACATGTAGTTTAAAAGTAGTCTGACAAAAATATAAATTTTAGAGACATATTTTCATGTCAAAGATCTACTATATACATGTATGTATAAAAAGTGTCGTTCTTAGAATATAAATGTAATTAACCTATAATAAATATGTATTTCACAAAGTTTATCAACCTTGATAAACTTTATGAAATAGATAGTTACATGTATTTATTGTTTCCAGAATGGTTTCTAAAATAAAGGTTTTTTTTTCTAAAATGGGAAATTTACATTTAAATTGCATTTATAATTAATGTTACAGTATACATTTTGTATCTATGTAAAATTTGAAAGGCATTAAAGTTGCTAAAAATGAATAACAATGGTCATTCATAAAAGAAACAGTATAAACAAAGAAATGACAGGTAAAAAACATATGATAATAAACAGATGGTGCTGATGACAATGATAATAGTGACCGGTAATGATGATGATGATGATCATGGTGATGATGACACAATCATAGGTGGCAATAATTATTTATGAAACTTAATTCTTACATATTTACAAAAGAATGGTTCATTTACCAATTCCTGGCTATTCAAGAGAATTGGGTTGAAATGTAACAAAATATAGTTATATCATTGGGCTGACATGTAACAAAATATAGTTATATCATTGTTAAGGTATATATCTTTTAAAATATACTTACATTGATACTGTGATTTCTAAATTCAAAGTAATTAATCTGTTCACAGGCTCTATTATTTTGGTTCACAGGCTCTATTATTTTGATACTTATGAAAATGTGTTAATCACATGGACAGGGAAACAATAAACCCAAAGCAGGTACGTATTGCTCACCTAAGTAGAAAAGTAGACAAAAATGTAAAGCAGTAAATAAAATGATAAACAAGATCAACAAGGTAGGGCAGCGTTCAATGAAGGCAACCCTAAAAGACTCAGCAACAATAAGGCATAAATAACACACCTTTTGTTCAGACTCACTTGACAATGTTATATACTGTTTATCATTTTAGTTTCCAGAGATTTCAAAATGTCTTATTCTTCATTCACATAATTACAAAAAAAAAACAAGAGCTGTCGGTAGGACAGCAACGCTCGACTATTCTTAGTGCTTGATAGTAAAAAAAATGCTTGATACAGTTACCTCCTCCTGTTTACAGGTTAGGGTCATGATGGTGAACAAGTGTGCAAAGTTTCAAAGCCATGTCAATGGACTTTGAAAATATTTGAACTACAAAATGTATTACAAAAACTTTAACGTAAATTCTAAGTTGAAAAAGGGGCATAATTCTGTCAAAATGCTTGAAAGAGTTACCTCCTCCTGTTTACAGGTTGGGGTCATGATGTTGAACAAGTGTGCAAAGTTTCAAAGCCATATGTCAATGGACTTTGAAAATATTTGAACTATTACAAAAACTTTAACGTAAATTCTAAGTCGAAAAAGGGGCATAATTCTGTCAAAATGCTTGATAGAGTTACCTCCTCTTGTCTACAGGTTGGGGTCATGATGGTGAACAAGTGTGCAAAGTTTCAAAGCCATATGTCAATGGACTTTGAAAATATTTGAACTATTACAAAAACTTTAACGTAAATTCTAAATCGAAAAAGGGGCATAATTCTGTCAAAATGCTTGATAGAGTTACCTCCTCCTGTCTACAGGTTGGGGTCATGATGGTGAACAAGTGTGCAAAGTTTCAAAGCCATATGTCAATGGACTTTGAAAATATTTGAACTATTACAAACACTTTAACATAAGTGGTTACGCCGACGCTCGGGTGACTGCAATAGCTCTACTTAGTCTTATCGAATAGTCGAGCTAAAAAATAAATAAAAAAAAATATTTTGTCTTCATTTGCTTCATTTGAAGCACTTAGGGTCAATTGTCCTTTGTCAGGCAGATGTTAAGTTCACAATAATGTTTAATAGTTAAATATTTAAAGTGCTATTTATGTTTTAAAATTGTGTTCAATGTTTTTTTTAGTAGCCTGAATAGTTCAAAAAAACTTTTCTCTGAATAATTTTTTTAGTTTATTTAGAGATGAACATTCTCATGTTTCTTGTTTAAGTATTTTCACTGGAAAGTATATACAAATATGAACTAGGTTACAGAATTGTATCAAGGCATGGCTTTTTAATATCACTATAAATATTGCCTGTCAATTTAATAGGTATCTATAAAAACCCAAGAAATATTTATGTGCAATGGTAGTGAAATTTTGTAAAATCACAATCGCAGGGCATGCATAATATCACTTGAAAAAAAAAACAAAAAAACAAACAAACATGTTAAAAACTAAACAAAAGATGACAAAAATTCACAACAGATATTTATATAAAACATAATTATAAAAACATATTGCATGAGACAATGGCACAAATACATAGTGTAACTACAGTTATCAAATTCAATTAAGATTTAAGAGAACATAGTTAAAAAAAAATATACAAATCTTAGTATTTTTAAAGCATTTAGATTCCCAACTCAACATGGCTGAAAGTGTTTGGCTTTTAATTTAAGGGTATAAAGCTACAATCTCTGTCTGAAAATATACATAATTTTGTGATCAGACAGATACCATAGTAACAGAAATGGAAATATGCTTAATGAATACTTCTGTGAAAGCAAGCTGTGCATGTGCGGAATCACCAATAAAACCCTGATCAAGATAGTACAGGATGGAAGTTTTGTATTCTTGTTTATACTTAAATTTTTATTTGCATTTCATAACAGTGACAAGTGACACTTTTTGTTAATATTACTTTGAGATTCCACTAAAAGCATATGAAATATATATATAATGTTTCTAATTAAATTAAATACCCTTTCAGAATTTTTTTTCTCATTTTCAACACACTTCAATGACATGCATGTACATGTATAACATATGATTATGCTAAAATCATTAAGTGCTTGAACTAACACTTGTAAAATGAAAACATTATGTAATGTACACATACAAGACAATAAAATATAAAATATACAAGTATAATAATGAAAAAGTATAGTCATGAAGTCTTTAAAATAAAACAAGTCATAAAGGGTGATTTATAGTCTCCATTTTTATCATTATATTATTTAAGATCATGATAAAAACAATAAATGAAGATGTTTTGGTATTATGGTAGTCAATATCATCTGAACAATAAAATAAGAGACATTAATTTTCGCTGTACTGAGAGTGGGGTAAAAAGTTAATGTTTGCCATTTTTAGGTTCATAAATATTCCTGAGTGCATGTTAACACAACAATCAAATACAAAATCAAAATCACAACAGTATTAAATGAAACCTTTGCTTTTCAAAATATATATACAATAACTAAATATGTTTTAATTACAGAATATCAACACTTACTCATGCTGGTTAGTTTTAAAACTACACAAGAGTGAGCTGCCAACACAGGCGAGGTGCAAGACTATTCTCTGTGAAAACTCATTAAAATCATATCCTAACTGTCCCTCTTTGTAGCAAAGAGTAACTTAGTGAAAACGATTATCTGCCTTTCATGCTAAAATGTTAAACATGAGCCTGATATCACAAAGGAGAAAATTTTAATCAAACTCCATGCCTTAGTTATATGTTTCAAATTAATATACAATTATGATCCTATAGGCAACAAGTTAGTTGCATAAATCTTAAATAATTGTAAATGTTTTGATGCATGCAAAACTTTAAGATTTTTCTAATTTCACTAAAGGATTATATGTCAGTGAAAATCCATTCAAGACTTAAGGATCTTGGATGGTGACTAATAATGATGATCCTACAGACACGTTTGAAGTTTCAAATGAGCAGTTATGTATATTGATCCTGGATCAAGTGCTATCATTTTGTCAGAATCCAACCTAGAGAAAAATCATTGAATTATTGGCCTTAAGTTATTATCCATAAGACATTTGTGAAGTTTCAAGTGAATAACTCTGTAAGTTGATGAGACATCGGTTGATGACATGCATAAACTTGCATGCAAATCTTAAAACCATGTGTCATGTCAAAAATCAACCCTAGGAAGGGTTAGTTAATATTGAAATACGGCTTTCATTCATTGTTACATCATAGGACATCAATTTATTGATTTGTATGAAACATTTTTGTAGATACATGTAACTATACATATTAACCCATAACTTTCCATGTGTTAATATGGCTTTAAAATGTTTTAAAATTCTATCAAGAACAAGATTCTTAGTTGTCATAAACAGAGAGCAGTTTCTATCTAAACAAAGTATATTAAACATGCATATTTCACAAACAATACACATAATTATCAAAAACAATTAAATGTACATAAAAAGACATTAAAAAATGAAAAATTGGCAATAAAATTACAAATATAGCACCATGAGACAAATTTGAACAAGAAATATCCTTTCAAGTTGCAGTCAACAAGTTCACAAGCAGTTAAATGACATCAGCATTTTCATAATATAAAAATAATTATTTCTTTATGAAAAACTATGATTTTCCAGTGTACAATTAAAACTAAAGGCATAGCTACTTTCTTTTCAGTGAAAGAATTGTCTAATCTGGTTAGCTACATACAAAATTATCAGTTTTTTTTTTTATTTTCACGTTTTTTGTTTGTTTCCTTCTTAGCATGAATGCCATTCTATTGTATCATTTTCATAAATGTTTCACAATCCTTATAGAAGTTAAAACTAAGTCCAAGATTTCAACATCAATGTTTTTTTCAAAGCTTCATTAAAGCTAAGATTTTCAATTAAATTGATAAAAATTTGCAATTTGTATATTTTTCAAAGATCCATCTCTTTTGCTCATATATTGAAAGCTGCATATACAATTTCATCAAACCACATATTTGTTTCTACATGCAATTATCTATTATTTCTACCAATACAGTAACTGTATACTGGCCGTATTGAACTATGTTATCACAGTTTAATATCTGCTACACCAATCAACTGACAATGCTAGAGTCACATGACCACATACTGGCCAATCAAAATGCTTCTGAGTATTTCAATCTTGTCACATGATCATGATGACTAGCTTTGTCATGAGACTTTGTCTTCTATATGTTTTTCTACAGGTTTATAAGGAACTCGCTTTGGCTTATTGGAATTTTGTCCCGAATTTCTCGGTTTAAAAATATTTTTAGATAAAGGCGTGTCAGGGAAGCATGAGGCGCCATCTGTATCAGAACTGGCAGGATACAGGGCATCTGTCTCTGATGTGTTCAGCTTCTCTTCACTTGTGCAGTTTGAGCTGACCACAGACACTCTATCCTGTAACAAAGAAGTATACCAGTGTTACCAAACAGTCTACCATAGGGAACAGAAACATTATTACAATTCCATCAGTTTTACACTTGATGTTATTTATTTGGTTTGCTTTTATGTCATAGACATTCTTACAGTATAATTGTGACTCTCCCACTTTTTTTTGTTTCCTTTTAAGCATGGATGCCATTATCAAACATCAGTGGGCATCTATAGTTTTGTTTAGTTGAGTAACTTAGTACAGAAAACAAAATAGCTCTATTAGTGGATGAAAGCCTCAGGTTTCACTCTGGGCATTATTTTAAGGCATGAACAGAGTTACGAGCAGAACCTAAATCTCCTGTCAACTAGCTTAACCTATGAAAACTACTGAAATCATGCCTTATAACTGGATAGCTTCTTCATATGACAGAATAACAGTGAATGAGAATGACTGAAAGTATGCCATCACAGGGAGGGATCACTTCTAAGTTTACTATTGCATAAATCAAGTCATAAAATGATACCAGTTTCAGCAATGATAGCTAAATATTCAAATTAACTTCTCTTTCTATTGATCCCTAAAAGTCTCTACAAAGCAAATCTCTCTCAACAACTTGTTCATCAGTCCCTAAATTTTATAAACTTTTAAAATGACTTCTATACTTACTGCTCTTTTATTAAAACGGAATATTCGCCACTCTCGCGGCGATCTTTCGGAATTAATAGTTTCTGTACTAGTTCTCTGGTAATTAGGGTTGGTATATGTGAGGGTAGAGAAATCTTCCTGGTAATGCTGCCGTCTTCTTTGTCTACAAATACACAAATATCACCATCAACAACATGTCAACAAACTCTGTATTACATTGATGCTGCTTCAATTCAATTTTACGTATTCAGTGTAAAAATAACTAAACAATACTGGCACACTAGGAACAACATTTTCTTTTAGAAATATCACTGATATAAGCCGAGTAAAATGGTTATTTAACACTGCCATGGAGCTTTTACTGACTAGATCTAAGGTTGAATAGAACAAGGATGTTCTTTATTACTTATATAATATTTTATAATAGTGTGTTGGACCAAACTTGAAAATCAAGTAAGAAAATGGAGTAAGATTAAACAGTAAGATTATACAAGACCTTCTCATATTTAGTCTGGCTTCAGTTTTATCTTGGTTAAAATTTTCTCACAAAAATAAACTCACACATCACCTTTGTGCTACTGATATACCTCAGCCTTTTAAATGAATATTCAAAGCTTTATATTTAAAACTGATACCGTTAACAGTAAGATATATTTTAATGTTTAACGTTGACCTACCTTTTCCAAATGAATATTATGAGCAATACTGCAAGTAAAACAAGAACAACCACACAGGCTAGAGCAATGTATGCCCCCTTCAAACTTGGTCCCTCCTCCTGGGCGGGGCTTGAGCAAAGACCTGCCTTCTCGTCAGCTGTGCTACACCTACAGAATATCAATTAATTCTTAAACATTATTTTCATTAATGTGTTACATTTTCATTATGGTCCATAAAAACATTTGAGAGGACTTTAATTGTGCCATTTTAAGATAAAATGCTAATTGATAGTAAATAAAAGGTTGCAATAATAAGTAAAATCATGTAAGATGTGTGAGAAACATCAAAGATTCTGAAATTGAGTGATACTTTATCTTTTTTTAATAATTGCAATAACAATATTAATATTATATTTTTCACTAGATGCTATTGTATGCTTAAAGCATGAACAGGTTTGCAATCACTTTTAGACTGAGCAAAGGCTTAATGTCATTCTAAATAAAAGTGAACTTACCCTTTCCCATTATTTGCTTTATTCTCAGTGACATCAGTATACACTGCTCTATCTTTAGGCACTATAATTACACAATAAGACAAATATATAGCATTGCCAGTGTTTTATAGGAATCAAAGTACGAAAGTTACGATCCTTAAACAACATTTTTGTTGTCAAGCAAGTTGTTCTGATACTGGTAAGCTCAAATATTATGGTGACCTTTTTGGTTTTCTTGGTTAGTGAAGACCTGATTTTCCCTCTGCATATAAAATCAGATACTGGCATCCATCCCAGTTACACCAAACTGTAATCAATTCTACTTTTGTTTTGCAATATGCAGGATTTAGAATATAGTCATTTTGTACATTGTTCATTGTCTCTGATTGTTAAATCTAACACAGACTTATCATATTGTAATTTGATGCAAGAATAGTTCAATGTTTAAAATTTAAAAAGCATAAGGGAAGATCTTTAATGAAAAATATAGTAAAATATACTCAATTTCAGTGCAATTAAACCACAGAGATTACATGCATTGGTTAATAAAATGAAGTTGCACACAAAACTTTTCAAAATAAATGCCTTGTTATACATTATCCTATGAGTAGATGAAATATGAGAAGTTTTACCTGAAATACAAGTTTTATTGCCTGTACTAACATCAGGGCACAGACAGGAATGACCATCTGGCCTTGGTAGACAGAGGTGAGTACACCCACCATTGCTTAAGGCACATTCATTTTCACCTGTAAATAAACCACAATCTTTTTTATCAACATTCTTTCTTATTATTCAGACTTACAGAAAATATTTCAGTCAATCACTTACCATTTTTTAACAGCAAAAAGTGGCTGTTAGCATAGTATATATTCAATTACATCATTAATGGCTGTTTAAAGTCACTCTGGTGTAGTTAATATAGTGACATTGTTCGACAGGATCAAGCAATGGTTTCCTTGACGTTTCATGGTTTAGTCTTATGGTGATTTTCAGGCCTTACTTGTAGAGGAAAATTGTCAAGTCCTCCTCTGTCAACATTATTTGCAAAAGATATTTTCATGTACAATATACAAATATGGTTATATTTAAATATGCCTGCTTATATTTCTGTGTGCTTAGCTCAATTTGGAGAGCATTTAATTTGTAATTCAGGGGTAACTGGATCAATCCTTGGGCGAGGCAAAATTACTCCATGACAACTGATCTAAGATTTAATAATACATCTCATTTGTCTCTTACTGCTGATACAGAAATCATGTAGGACTAGTACTTGGTCACTTGCGGAGAAATTGTAATGCATAAAATCTAGTTAGTTTGACTGATTACTGAGATATAACTAAAACATGTCTTAAAATTGCCTTAAAGAAACAAAAACAAACTAAACTAAACAAAAATAAACTCACCTGTTTGTCTATATGGGGACACTACTTCAATATCCATCAGACCTACAAACAGTTGTTTGATGGTTTCCCTGTGTTTACCAGTATGTTTATCAGCCCTCTCTATCTGCTGGGACTGCCAGTCAGTCCAGTATACATAATCTCCAAACTGTAATATATATATATAAGGTTATTATACATTGTCGAGTACAATACTGAATTCTAATGGACAGATACACAGCTGTCAAGTCTATATTGGACAAAGCCCTTGCCTCACACCATCAGTTTTTCAGTTAATTTCAAATTTGACAAATGAAAATAAATTCAATATTGTAACAATGAAATCTAAATTTTTAACCATTGCCATTAGACCAATGCATATCATAAATTGTAAAAATGTACACGTCTGTTTTATTTTTGTGTGTGAACTATGCATCTTTCTAAACAAAAATATATATCTCCCTTTATTTATGCTAACAATTTTAATTTCTGATTGGCTTCATCAGTGAAATGTCAAATCATACCTGAAGGTCCTCATTTCACAATTTTTGGAGTTGAAATGCAATCCCCTCCCACAGGCAAAAGTATCGGACCTGGGAAGAAAAAATATGACCAGATTGATAAAAAAAAACCTGTGTTCATCTTAAAAGTGTAAAAAAAACCAAAAAAAAATGTATATAATGACCCCCTTTAAAAATATACTATAAGTTAACTTATAGTATATTTTTAAAGGGGGTCATTATATACATTTTTTTTGTTTTTTTTGACACTTTTAAGATGAACACAGGTTTTTTTTATCAATCTGGTCATATTTTTTCTTCCCATGTCCGATACTTTTGCCTGTGATTATTATCCCCTAAGCTTTGAGAAACAATTCTCTTAAAACAAATAAAATTTTACTTGCCTAAAGTATAAGACCCTTTACAATACATGTACCAGACTGGAATTGGTTTGTTTTTGTTTTTTTTTGCCGATATACTACTATATGGATACTACATGTATTATCAGTATAAATTGACCTATGGTCCTTTGTATGACCAAGTGATCAAACTCTTGGTTTATACAGAATTCATTTTAGTTCGATTGTGTTGGAAGCTATAAGCTCATGGACACACTTTCAAACTCTTGACCATCATCTTGGACAATATAACACACCTTTTTTTGTACTTACCACTGTAAGACCAAATGGGTGAGGAACATTCTGTATCAAAGTCACTCTATTATTTCCATCTAATGTGGATGTTTCTATTTTGTCAAGTTTGGCATCCACCCAGTAAAGTCGTTCTGCTACATAATCAATTGACAAACCATTTGGAAAACCTGTTAAAGTGAAATATTTAAACAAACTTAAGTTAATAGTCAAAATAATTTTCAGCTTTTAATTACATAAGTCTATAATATATATATTCTGAATACTGTAAACATAGGACAAAACGCAGTTAAGGTCATACAGTACATTCCAGAATTTTCTTGTAAACAAAGACCTTGTGCATTATTTCATGACTCATGCATGCTCTTACAAAGAACAAGAACTGCTTTTCATACTATTCATAATAATAGCTCACATATAATTTCTTTTTCAACAAGTAGCTTGTGACATTGGCTTTTAAACAATCACCAGAATATAACATGAAGAAGTTATACATAGGCAGTCATAATTCAACAACCTTATATTAAAGGCATATTGTGCCTCAGAAACGAATAAATATTTATTTCTTTAGAAAGGTCAAACACAAGTTTTAAAATGTTTAAATAATGGTTTAAGAGCTTATGTTAGATATTTGTTACCCAAAGAAAACGGCGCTAAATGTGAAGTTAAATTTGGTATAAAGTAGCAAAATGTAAACAAAATAGTATTTTGACTTCCATATAAAACACTTAATCACTATAATTGTACTAATTGCTGAAAAAGCAACAGAAGAAGATCGTGAGAAATAAAATGAAAGCATTTCTGAGGCATAATGGGCCTTTAAAACAATCATCCATATTGCAAAGGCAATGCTGCAACATGTTGCACTTATGTTTATTACAACTAGCTGGATATATATATCTTTTGTGGCTCAAGAATTCTTAAGAGTAGAGTAGTTCTTTAGTTGAGTATTACATGACACCTTAACTGTTACGATATCTTTGACAAAATGTTTATGTAATTGCATATGTTAATTTGTACTTATTTCCTAAATACAGAATCATATACAAGTGTTTCCTTCTGATCACAGTATTAAGGACTTTTTCATACAGGGCAGTATTAGTTTACTGAATTAAAAGTTAATAGGATCCTTTCTTTATTTTCCTATATTATCATTATTAGCATTTAATTACCACCTGCATCTTTTTCAGTCAATGGGTCATTATAATCTGAAATTACTGTAACCAATACCATACTCTTCAATTTAAAGTTTGTAGTTTCGAGAAATTCACAAGTTATCACCCAAGGGTCCTTTCCATGATTTAATGTCATTATGTTTGATTTTTTGTAAATGATTAATTTACCGTATATACGGTATTTTATATTACAGAAAATATAGAGAAAAAGTAAATACCCTGTAACATAGGATGTGTCCAATCATATTTTATATACAGATATTAAATTGTCTCATATTAACACTTTAAAACCTTTATCTATTTAATCTTTGGTTAGAGGGAAATGGAGTGATGTGTGAATATGGGTGGTCTGTTGGGTATTTTGAGTACATTGTTGAGCACACTGTGGGGTACACTGTTAAGCACATTGCGTTGAGCTGATGGCTCTAAAAGATTCAGTAACACAAGTACATAAAATAGAGAGAAATAGTATCCCTAAAGAAAGTCCAAAATAAAACAAAATTTCACAGGGTTGTACAGACATTCAATGCCAAATTCAAGTACTTTTTAAGCACGTCTCCCATTTTTCAAGTACAATTTGTTGTACATATATCATTAAATGTAACCAAGGATAGATAAAGTAACTCTAAAACAGTCATAAAACATTAGAAACTTTATTCTTGACTGCTAAATAACATACATTGTATGTAGATTATGTGATATATTGTATTAGCACAATATGTATTCATGTATAGTGCAACTAAAATATACTAGTATGTTTAACAACAAATTAAATTATTATCATTGTTCATTATACTCTCATAATATGAATAGCAACCATAATTATCATCCCTGTTCATTATGATAATGTATCCTCTCATTATAAAGATGTGTAGTATTTAACAGTCACCATTTTACAGTTTTTATGGAACAACAAAGGGACGCAACTACCATATTCGTACATCTACCCAAACTAGTCCAAATCAACTGCAATTTGTCCCCTTACTGTTACTGTTGAGCAAACAATTCATTGATTTTGGTACTAAATTGGATCGTTTTTGTTTTTTGTTCACTGTTGATTTTCACTGACACTTATAAAGTTATTAAAATATTTTCAAGCATATTTGCACCAAATTTAAGAATTTTCTAGGCACTTTTCAAAAGAGTAATCAATTAACAGTCAGGGAAGCTTAACTCTTTATATGTGTGTTTAATCTATTTTAACTATTCATTAGGTCTTTATGGCTAGAAAATGCAAATTTTATATGTATCACGCAAATAAACACAATTTCTTTTACCTTTTATTTTTCATTCTATTGTTTTTATCTAAAATCAACAATACAAGAGCCATGTCAACATGGCCATCCCCCGCCGAATGTGTTTGCTCATTGGAAGAATGTATATGTAGTAGAGCAGAATAATTCCATTTTAAGAGGTCTTTTGGTAATAAAAACTGATGGCTATAGTGATTACAGATTTGAAACCTATGTGAATACTGATGGCTGAAAATAACAAAGGGCAATAACTGAAAAATAATGCAGGGTAGGTTATCGTCCTTGTGTGCTGCATCCCTCCTCAGTAAAATCTATCCACCTATGAAGTTTCAAGTTGATACCTCAAATACTTTTTGAGAAAAAAATTGAATTGAAAAATTAAGTTTGAAAAATAACAAAGGGCAATAACTCAAAAATTATAAAAGGTACAGTTATCATTCTTGTGCAGTGCACACCTCCTGAGTGAGATCTATGCACCTGTGAAGTTTCATTTTGATATCTCAAAGGCTTTTTGAGTTATGCTCTGGACAAAAATTAATTTTGAAAAATAACAAAGGGCAATAACTCAAAAATAATGCAGGGCAGAGTTATCATTCATTAGCACTGCACTCCTCCTCAATGAGATCCATCCACCTATGAAGTTTCAAGATGATACCTCAAATACTTTTTCAGATAAGCTCTGGACAAAATAGCATGAAAAAAACAACAAAGGGCAATAACTCAAAAAATTGTATAGGGAAGAGTTATCATTATTGCGCACAACATTTCTCCTCAATAAGATCTATCCTTCTATGACATTTCATGTTGATATCTCAAACACTTTTTGAGTTATGCTCCACTCAGGTGAAAAATTAGGTATGAAAAATAACAAAGGGCAATAACTCAAAAATTATGAAAGGAAGAGTTATCATTCTTGAGCACTGCACACCTCCTGAGTGAGATCTATGCACCTAAGAAGTTTCATGTTAATATCTGATAGGCTTTTGGAGTTATGCTCTGGACAAAAATCAATTTTGAAAAATAACAAAGGGCAATAACTCAAAAATCATGCAAGGTAGAGTTATCATACTTGTGCACTGCACTCCTCCTCAATGAGGTCTATCCACCTATGAAGTTTCAAGTTGATAACTCAAATACTTTTAGAGATATGCTCCGGACAAATATTTCGGACGGAAGGACGGACGAACGGAAGGTCGGACGGACGGACGGACGGACGGACGGAGAGTATTACTATATCCTCCGCCGAAAATTTTCGGCGGGGGATAATAAAGGTTAGTAGTTTGCTACATTCAAGGTTTAAACCCTTAACCTTGCTGAATGCTTAAAATAGACTTGTCCGACTTCCAATTTTGAAACTGTCCATTATCAATATTGCCATTATCATTATAGGATAACAATAACAGAAAAGGATTCTTGATTATATTAGCAATTACAATCTTGTTCCCCCCCCCCCCCCCCCCTGTGTATTATCTAATTGAATTGGCCTTGATTATTATAATATTATATACAAGTATCTTTTTAAATTTTCCATTACATATCATCAAATTGCCCTAGATTTCTGTGATATTATATCATCCATTCATATTTCATATAATGTCATGATAACATAAAATGTTTGTTTAAGGTAGTCCCAGATCCTGTTTTACCTAAAATGGGGACAATAAATGGAGTTACCTTTTAGGCTTTAAAAAAAGAGTGTTTGCAAATACAATACCACCAAGCAAAAGTTGTACAAGTGTCAAATTGGAGCAAATATTGTAAAAAGTCGATATTAAATTTAAGAGTCAACAATCTCTTGTATTGAATTTGGTGAAATGAATATAACAATTGTACAAAAGCTACAAGTCTTTCTTATTTACATAAAATAAGATATACATGCGTGATTTAGTTCAATAACTCATACAAAATGAATATCTTATTTTCTTTCATTTACAAGCCATATCAACACTGACATGGCCACTTTCAACCTTCCAGATTTACTATTGGAGATAAAACAAAAGCTGCTCGAGGGAGATGAGGGATATTGAGATGCATATTTTCTAAATAAGGAGAAAATTTGAAGTAAAGGTCACAATGACCTTGGCCTTTGACCTTTTGACCATAAATGAGTAGGCAGGCAGGACTCAAAGCAGTGCGTTCGAGGTTTCTAAGCCAATGTACTTTGATTTAATGGCCAGTTTTATGTTTTTGTTAGTACAGACATGTCCAAGCTACCAAGATCTTTGATGTTTTGGCATCTTATAATTACTGACCAAACAATATCTGCTAAGAAGCCAACTTCAAAAAAACACTGCGGCCAATAAGCTGGTAGTTAAGAAATAATTCAACTCTCTAACCATTTTTGTTTTATCTGTCAATTACTGGCGATTAAACAAATGTCTTGTTAATTAATGCTGGCTAAACAATTTAACTATTTATTGGCCAACCTGTGCATTATTGATATAACAAAAACATTTTTGTCCTATCTGAGCATAATTGTTGACCAAGCAATTTCACTACTTTTCATCTATCTGTGATTTATTAATGCTACTATCACAAATATTTTAGGCCAATGTGATTTATTGCAGACAAATTTTCCTTTGAGATTGAACTATAAAGTTCAAGTGATGATTTTCAAGATTTTGCTGGTGAATGGAGATCAAAGATACTCATTCATGCATTATTGCAGATTTAACCCTCCAAAACCACAAACACTTCTTTACTTATTAGAACAAATTTTCCCAAAAGTAGGCAAATGTAGGA